CACTGCGTCTTTGCGAGAGCTGAGCCACCCGCAGCGAAGTCATCCGGTGGGGCCTCAGGATTGATTGGAACACTTTCACGAGAAGCGCGATAACAAGAACTGGTTTGTGCTTCATGGAGGTATGGGTAAGAATGTGACGTTTGTGTCCGAATGCAACACCATGTTGGCGGGGCGCAAATCTTTGCTTTGCTTGAGCCACAAAAGCTGTTGTGCCATGCACAGTTTATTTTTTGTTGCCTCGATTGCGTCTCGCGCTTCTGTGCTAAGGGCCTTGCCATGCGTTGCATTGGAGGGCCTCTGTTTGTCATGCTGCAGCACTGCATTTGCCCTAGGGCGCTCAGTGTCCGCATTCCGGTCACGGCTCCTCTTCGCCATGCACCCTTTCATCGAGTCCAACATCCCTGACGCTCAGAGCTTAAGGCGCTTGACCTCAGACGAAGCAGGTGGCTCTGACCACCTGACCTTTCAGCTGAAAGGCACTGAGATTGTTCGCCACCCAGGGACTTCGCGGAACCGGGGAGGATGAACTACCTTAGGAGTTTTGAAGTTTCCCTTGCAACCCTGGGCGTCCTCCTGCTTTTTGCTCTCCGCGCACGCACTGCTGCGGTTCAGGCTACCGGTGCTCTACTCAGAGTCCGAAGCGTAGAAGCCGGAACTGAGTGAAGCACGTGCAACAACCGAGTCGCTTGATCATTACGTCGTCTCCAGCGTACTGAGGTCTGGACAAAAGGTCGTCGTCCTCGGTGCCGCCGGAGATGACAACGAACTGCAGGTTCGTGTGCTTCCTGGCCGGAGGATTCTACTCTTTTTTTTTTGCTGATGGTTTAAGGCACCTTAACTTGAAGGGTTGACCTGCACCGCTCGTGGCCTACCAGCTTTCGGCCGGTGGACTTGTCAACGGCGGCCATGGGGAGTTCGGGCGAGACTCCTGCTTGGAAGGTCGGGTTTTTGGAGCTTTGGTGCAGTGTGCGCACCACGCAAGTTTGCCGAGGCTCGCGCCGAGCAGCTTCGCCACTTTTTCTTTGATCTCCCAGATGCGGGCGTCCCAAAGTGCCTGTGCTAGAGTCTAATTTGCTCATGCCCTTCTGAAGTTGCGGTTCAGTTGGGCCTTCACCTTCACGGTTTCGCCGCTTACGGTTTCCAGCACCACTTCCGTCCTGATGACATTCAGGATCGTGCGCTGGTCTGGTATAGCACTGGTGTTCTGCTGAGGCTGCTGCAGCGCGTGCCGCGGGGCATTGACCCTGCGCTTCCATACTGGCAGCCGCACCCTGGCTGGCATCCCTATTACGGCTTTGCTTGGCACAATTGTATGCGAGGTGAGTTCTTTCTCCTGTATGACGATGCTTCTTACTGTGCCGGATCTGGTCTGTGTTTTGATGCGTAGCGAATGTTTGTAGCTTCAAGACGGCTACGGCGGATGGGATAGTTGCTTCTGCTCTGCTCTGCAAGACGCTACCCTCGCCAGTCTAGAACTAGTCATATCCCTCTTCCACAGTGGTGCTCTGTGACCCATGCGTCCCCTGTGGCATTGCTAAGTTTCTTTGGGAACACGACTAACGGTTGCTAGAAAGGGCATGGGTAAGGCGGCGCCTTCTGACATCAGGCCGCCATTTTTGGCTCGATTATGGACGTGCCTGCTTCTGCACTTCACTACGCACGCTCTCATGTCGCCTTGCTGTTCAGGCTTTGCTACGTGTTGTCCTGACTCTTGCGGACACGGTGGGAACGTGCTTCCGCGATGGCACCGACAGAGCTTGATGTTCCATCGGCTCTTCTCACCAGCTTGCGCATGGTTGTATCCTCGTTGGGACATGGTCTGGTCCTGTTTCGCCGGTAGCCTGTGGCTTATTTTCGCTTCTCTGCGCTCCTTGCCTTGGGCGATTCTGCAAGTGTGAACGCCGGATCGAGCTTTCGAACACTTCAGGTCTGCCTGAGAACGAATGTTGAACTGGACCTCTGAGTGTGAGTTTCCTCTCGGCGGCTTTCGCTCTAGCAACCGTCGATGGCGGTCAATCCCAAAGTGCTCTTCGGATATGATATCCTTAGCCGCCCCCCGGACGTCTTTGAGGACCGGATGTCTTTCCATCGACGAGTTTTTGTTGCTAGGTCCGGGGAAAAAACGACTACTTGGACGCCTTGGCTCGCGCCTCTGTTCGCCCCTGAGCCGGTGGCTTATTTCCGCTTCTCTGCCTGCGCTCCTTGTCTTAGGCGATTCGGCAAGTGTGAACGTCGGATCGAGCCTTCGAACACTTCAGGTCTCCCTGAGAACGAACCGCTGCCCGGGCACCGTTGCACTTGGCTGCTGCTGCGGTGCTTCAGCGCGATGGACGCTTGCCCAAGGCGTCGCGCCGAGCCCACCGGACACGTTAGCCCATTGGTTCCGCTGTCATACCCGAGGGCGGACCCACCGACTTCGGGCGTTGGCCCCAGACTCGGCTCTACGAACTGATTTGCCGTAGCCGCGGCTCCCCATTCCCCGACCAATAGGAATGCGCGTCTTCGCAGTCGGCCGCGAAGTTCTCGTCAGGTAGGCATGAAGGCGTCTGCCTCCTCACGCCCCGAGTCGACGCAAAGGTCTCGAATTCAGAAAGTTGCGTTCTGGGAGGTTGGGCGGACGTTTCGTGTCGGGCTGTGTCTATTAGTTCAGGATTCATATTGCTGCCGAGTTCCTTGCCTTCTGCGTGGGAGATGTTGAACTGGACCTCTGTGGGCGAGTTTCCTCTCGGCGTCTTTCGCTCTAGCAACCGTCGATGGCGGTCAATCCCAAAGTGCTCTTCGGATATGATATCCTTAGCCGCGCCCCGGACGTCTTTGAGGACCGGATGTCTTTCCATCGACGAGTTCTTGTTGCTAGGTCCGGGGAAAAATGACTACTTGGACGCCTTGGCTCGCGCCTCCGTTCGTCCCTGAACTTCCGGCTGGAAGCCAGACGCGACGAGGACAACGGCGCATGTCAATGGATCTCCCCCTTGCCTTCCCTGTCCAGATGCATTCGCCACGTGCAACGCCCACGCCACCACCGGCACGTTAGCCCATCGTCCGGCTGTCATCGCTCGGAAAGCTTTAACCCCGGAGCAAGGAGCTTACCACCACAGAGCTGTTGCCCCCAACGTGGGCAAAGGCACAGGGCGCCCCACGTTCCGATCCAACCGAACGTGTTGAAGCGAGGTTGTGGCGACTTCGCTTCGTGGGTGAGGCATGTGTCATACCCGTTCGTACTGATCTCCCTTTGCAGGGCCGAGTCCCATCGGGTGACAAATCCGATGCGCGAGTTTGCATGCGTGGGTAGGACTCCGTTGGCGCGTCGCAGAGCTCCCCCTCATGATGCCTCCCCGGATTCTCCTCGGATCCGTGGGTACAGATCTCCTGAGCACGCCTCAATTCTCCGGGCGTTGTCCCCGCACAGCCGGCATCGGATGCTGTGTTTTCGTTGTGGTGTCAGGGGCTTGGAGATCTGGGATCAACCCCTGCGTCGGGTTCGGGGATGTTTGCCTTTAGCTCCGCGAGTCAAGGCACCTTCAACTTCTCGGTCAACGTTTCTTTGCTGTCTCTCTCCTGGCTTCCTTCAGATCTTGAAGCTGATTGTGTCAGAACTCGCAGCTGCGATCCGGATGGACGACAGCCACGAGACCACACCAGCTTCATTACAGCAGCTTCTCTGCCTCAAAGCCCTCCGGGCGAGTAGATGACCAATAGTTGCTCTGCAACACAGTGTCCTGAAAAAAAAGTTTCGGGCCTCGTAGCCGAAATCTGTGCGGGTGCCCCCTTGGAAAAAACCAGGTGGATGCAATAAAAAGTGCAAACCTACGTGTTCGAACGGGTTTCGAATGTGAACAACCCGAGAAAACAATCCGGGAAGACCTGGACTATATTGACGTTTGGACCTAGGTCCGACTTAGGTCGGTCTGTCTTGCGTGGGGAGGGGTGCGTTTAAATCTTCGCTTAAACGTCCTTGCGCGCTAATTGGACCTAGGTCCGACATGGGTCGGCATGTGTTGTGTTTATTTCAACCATTAACTAAGGCACGTTTAATGGGACCTAGGTCCGACATGGGTCGGCATGTGTTGTGTTTATTTTAACCATTAACTAAGGCACGTTTAATTGGACCTAGGTCCGACATGGGTCGGCATGTGTTGTGCTTAGTTTAAGCATTAACTAAGGCACATTTAATTTGACCTAAGTCCGACATGGGTCGGCATGTGTTGCGTTTATTTAAACCATTAACTAAGGCACATTTGATTGGACCTAGGTCCGACATGGGTCGGCATGTGTTGTGTTTATTTTAACCATTAACTAAGGCACGTTTAATTGGACCTAGGTCTGACATGTGTCGGCATGTGTTGTGTTTATTTCAACCATTAACTAAGGCACGTTTAATTGGACCTAGGTCCGACATGGGTCGGCACGTGTTGTGCTTATTTTAACCATTAACTAAGGCACGTTTAATTGGACCTAGGTCCGACATGGGTCGGCATGTGTTGTGTTTATTTCAACCATTAACTAAGGCACGTTTAGTGGGACCTAGGTCCGACATGGGTCGGCATGTGTTGCGTCTATTTTAACCATTAACTAAGGCCCGTTTAATTGGACCTAGGTCCGACATGGGTCGGCATGTGTTGTGTTTATTTCAACCATTAACTAAGGCACATTTAGTTGGACCTAGGTCCGACATGGGTCGGCACGTGTTGTGTTTATTTTAACCATTACCTAAGGCACGTTTAATTGGACCTAGGTCCGACATGGGTCGGCATGTGTTGTGCTTATTTTAAGCATTAACTAAGGCACATTTAATTTGACCTAAGTCCGACATGGGTCGGCATGTGTTGCGTTTATTTAAACCATTAACTAAGGCACATTTAATTGGACCTAGGTCCGACATGGGTCGGCACGTGTTGTGTTCATTTTAACCATTAACTAAGGCACATTTAATTGGACCTAGGTCCGACATGGGTCGGCATGTGTTGTGTTTATGTTAACCATGAACTAAGGCACATTTACTTGGACCTAGGTCCGACATGGGTCGGCATGTGTTGTGCTTATTTCAACCATTATTTAAGGCACATTTACTTGGACCTAGGTCCGACATGGGTCGGCATGTGTTGCGTTTATTTTAACCATTAACTAAGGCACGGTTAATTGGACCTAGGTCCGACATGGGTCGGCATGCGTTGTGTTTCTTTTAACCATTAACTAAGGCACGTTTAATTGGACCTAGGTCCGACATGGGTCGGCACGCGTTGTGTTTATTTTAACCATTAACTAAAGGCACGTTTAATTGGACCTGGGTCCGACATGGGTCGGCATGTGTTGTGTTTACTTTAACCATTAATTAAGGCACGTTTAGTTGGACCTAGGTCCGACATGGGTCGGCACGTGTTGTGTTTATTTTAAGCATTGACTAAGGCACGTTTAATTGGACCTAGGTCCGACATGGGTCGGCATGTGTTGCGTTTATTTTAGCCATTAAGGACGGCATGTGTTGTGTTTAGTTTGACCATTAACTAAGGCACGTTTAATTGGACCTAGGTCCGACATAGGTCGGCATGTGTTGTGTTTGTTTTAGCCATTCTTTAAGGCTCATTTACTTGGACCAAGGTCCGACATGGGTCGGCATGTGTTGTGTTTATTTGAAACATTGTTTAAGGCACATTTACTTGGACCTAGGTCCGACATGAGTCGGTATGTGTTGTGCTTATTTTAAGCATTAACTGAGGCGCATTTAATTGGACCTAAGTCCGACATGGGTCGGCATGTGTTGCGTTTATTTTAACCATTAACTAAGGCACATTTAATTGGACCTAGGTCCGACATGGGTCGGCACGTGTTGTGTTTGTTTTAAGCATTAACTAAGGCACATTTAATTGGACCTAGGTCCGACATGGGTCGGCATGTGCTGTGTTTATTTTAAGCATTAACTAAGGCACGTTTAATTGGACCTAGGTCCGACATGGGTCGGCATGTGTTGTGTTTATTTCAACCATTAACTAAGGCACGTTTAATGGGACCTAGGTCCGACATGGGTCGGCATGTGTTGCGTCTATTTTAACCATTAAATAAGGCCCGTTTAATTGGACCTAGGTCCGACATGGGTCGGCATGTGTTGTGTTTATCTCAACCATTAACTAAGGCACATTTAATTGGACCTAGGTCCGACATGGGTCGGCACGTGTTGTGTTTATTTTAAGCATTAACTAAGGCACGTTTAATTGGACCTAGGTCCGACATGGGTCGGCATGTGTTGTGCTTATTAGGCGGGGGGGGGGCGTTTAAAGAATCTCAGTGGGCATTAACGAGCATGCATTTAATTCGACATGTGTCCGTCATGTGTTCGCCTGTGTTGTGTTAAAGGCATCCCGTTTAACAGGACATAGGTCTGACATGTGTCGGCGTGTCTGGCGTGTGGGTGTGCGTGCATTTCCCTAATTTCAGTGGCCATTTACCACGACACGTTTAATTCGACATAGGTCGGACATGTGTCCGCATGTGTTCTGTTAAAGGCACCCCGTTTAACAGGACATAGGTCTGACATGTGTCGCCGTGTCTTGCGTGTGGGTGCGCTTGCATTTACTTAATTTCAGTGGACATTAACAACCACACGTTTAATTGGACCTAGGTCGGACATGTGTCCGCATGTGTTGTGCTAAAGGCACCCCGTTTAACACGACATAGGTCTGACATGTGTCGCTGTGTTTTGTGTGTGGGTGCGCTTGCTACTACTACTACTACTACTACTACTACTACTACTACTACTACTACTACTACTGCTACTACTACTACTACTACTAGTACTACTACTATTACTACACACTACTACTTCTATTACTACTACTTTATTACTTCTACTACTACTAGTTGTACTACTACTACTACTACTACTACTACTACTACTACTACTACTACTACTACTAGTACTACTACTATTACTACACACTACTACTTCTATTACTACTACTTTATTACTTCTACTACTACTATTTGTACTACTACTACTACTACTACTACTACTACTACTACTACTATTACTACTACTACTACTACTACTACTACTACTACTACTACTGCTACTACTACTACTACTACTGTTACAGTCTGCGTATACGGTGTACAGAGAACCAGGGGTGGACGCCGGCGTTACACTGTTACAGGCTCCATATATTGTGTACAAAGAACTAGGGGTGGACGCCGGCGTTACACTGTTACAGTCTCCATATATTGTGTACAAAGAACCAAGGGTGGACGCCGGCGTCACAATGTTACAGTCTCCATGTTGTATACAAAGAACTAGGGGTGGACCCCGAATGTTACAGTCTGCGTATACGGTGTACAGAGAACCAGGGGTGGACGCCGGCGTTACACTGTTACAGTCTCCATATATTGTGTACAAAGAACCAGGGGTGGACGCCGGTGTTACAACATTGGGAGAGCGGGAAATGGTGACAGGTGGAGAAGGATGCAAGGCGACGGGAAAGAAAGGAAGCACGAGAGTTGTAAACCAGAGCAGGGAGAGAGAGATGAGAGGGAGACCGAGGGGAAGCGAGGCGGATGGGACTAAACAACAGTCCAGAACTCAAAAACACACAGCGATGCAACCAACTTGCTAAACTTTCGCTCTGGCTGAACTCAAAACTTGCCAAACTTTCGCTCTGATTCAATTTACTTAAACTTGATTGCAATAACTTGTGCCAACGGCTATGCATATCCAAGGATATAATTTTAGGTGTATTTGCTTCAATTCGAAAAGAATGAAATGGAATACCACGCATGGTGTAAAAACTTAAACCCTTTACCCTAAACCCACCTTGAACCTTTAACTAGACTTCAAACCCAGAGCTCAATATTCTAGACCCTAAATCTCGTATTATTATTGGTATTTGTATAGTTGGTGCAATTTACTTAAACTCGATTGCATTTTGGTGGTGGTGGTGGCGGAAAAATCAGTTCAATTTACTTAAACTCGATTGCAAGAACTTGTGCAAACAGCTATGCATATCATATGATTTTGAGTGTATATGCTTCAATTTGAAAAGAATGTAATGGAAGACCACGCACG